GCACGCTCCGCGTGCCTAAAAGTCCAATTTCCGCCACATTGTGATGAAAAATATTGTTCGTAACTCGTGAAAAAATGTTTTTTAGCTCGTGGGATTATAGCACTCGCCTTCGGCTAGTGATATAAACCTCCCACTCGCCAAAAAACACTTTTTTGCACACGTTACGAAATATACTATTTCATCACGCTGTGACGAAAAGTGAACTTTTCGGCACGCTCCGCGTGCCTAAAAGTCCAGTTTCCGCCACATTGTGATGAAAAATATTGTTCGTAACTCGTGAAAAAATGTTTTTTAGCTCGAGGGATTATATCGTGAGATTATATAAACCTCCCACTCGCCAAAAAACAGTTTTTTGCACTCGTTACGAAATATACTATTTTGAATCTTTTTTCAAATTCATTTGGCACCCTTAAGTGTATGTTCTTTTTAGAATAGGACCCTGCAATCACAGGCTGACGGCCGGGATAACGTAACGATCTACACTATCGGCTCAGCATACACGGTTTAGGCACAATAGCATTGCTATTGCTGCATACCGTGCACTGCACATTGCAACAGCACGGTCACAGCATTCAATTCTTTACCCCGTACTTTACTCTGTTTTACCATGGGATCGACTGCACGGCTAGCTATCGCGGAAGTACACTACTGCCGATGGTAAACATATCACGTTATCGAGGTGTGTAGGGTGACAAGTGAACGAGCGCAGTTTCTCGTAAGATGTCACTGTTATTCATTCCATGACGTTCAAACTCCAGTACTAGAATTCGTATTCGTTCTTTCTTACAAATATAAAGCATTGCTATTATCTTTTCCAGTTATACTCAGCCGGACGGAAATTGATATACTGCTTCATTTCGACTCCAACTCCGCATTGGTGAAAATAATTAGATCGATGTCTCCTAAGGAAAACTGTGTAAATCAGAAAATGTTTCCAAACTCAAGTATCTCAATATTTCGTTCTAAACTCAAGTCTCTCAAGAATAGTGACTGAAGCGTTGTTTATGTCGCGCCGTGCAATAAGTCCAGTTTATCGCACGCTGCGCTTCGCACAGCCTGCTCAAAACTCGACTTCTGCACGACTTGACATAAAATATTATAGAGCACTCGGTAATAAATTTCGTTTTCAACGAATGTGTGTACAGACCTCGCCTTCGGCTCGGCCTGTAAACTACGCATTCGTTGAAAACGAAATTTGTGCCCTTGTACTCTAATGTACTATTCTCAGAGGAGATGACAGAAACCAAGTATCTCAGAAAAAATTCAAAAATACGTCACTCAGTAATTTGGATTGAACACCGTCTAATTCACTCGATGCCTTTATCATTTTTATTTTAATTCCTCGGATAGAGTTCCTGTTCATATTTTCATATATTTCTGTGCTTGGGGAATGTTTCATACGGTCGGCAGTTGGCAGAACACCAAACCTCTTATGGCTTTGCGAATAGTCAAACAATTTTGTAATTGGTAAATTGTTGTCATCTCATTTCTTTTAACATAAATTTTTCACATAGTTGGGTAATGAAGGGGTTAATGGAATCATTTTGAAACTACTCATTCATTTTATCTAATTGATTCTTTGCCACTCTACTCATTAATATCTACGAGAAATTTCTCATTTACTAAAATCAGTTTTTCGACATTAGCGTTCTGTATGAGTGGGTAACTACACAGAGAAAAATTCAACAAAAATTACAACAAAAAAACGTAAAAATTACGTTTCGAAAGGTAATCGACGAGCGAAGTAAAATTCAATAAAAAGTGTGAGTCGAAACTGAAATTGTACGAATCGCCACGTAAATTCTACGATTTGTTCCGTAAAAATTAACCACCCGTTTGATGACTCACCGTTGTGGGGACAACAAGTCGTCCCGTAATTTTTCCGCACGATTGAGAAATTTTACGGAACGGAACGTAGAAATAACTCACCAGCTTCATAAAAATTATTGAACGTTCAAGAATTTTTGATTTTAGAGGCATAATAAGTCGAGAAGTGTCTGTAAGATTTTACTTCTTCGGGAAAAATTATGTGACAATTTCGTACTTTGTTCGGTGATGAATCTGAAAATTCACTGGACGTTTCAGATTACTTCTCTTCCATCCCTATAAAAATTACCGGGAAACGATTCGCCATTGCGCATTACGTGAATTGTTCCGTAATTTTTACTGAATATTTCTCTCCGTGTAGGGATCAGCTAATCCCCATTTCCTCAAGAAACAAGAAAAACTGCAACAGTTTGGGAGCAAAGGATTGACAGTTCTGAATTTTGTTCATAGGTTACTAATACCACTAAACGGATATTAATCAGAACTACTTGGATACTTGGTTTCTGTCAACTCCTCAGAGATACAAAGTTTCAGTCAATACTTGTGAGACACTTGAGTTTAGAACCAAATCTTGAGATACCGAGTTATAGAACTATTTTATGAGTTACGTAGTTTCCTTTAGGAGCCATCGAGATGTAACCATCCAAACACTGAGAAAAAAAAATATTTTTGCCAAATATTCATTTACTTGAGAGAAGCATTTTTTTTTTTCAAAATTGCATTTCTCCAATCGAGTTACTCCCAGGCGAGCCTGATTAGGTTTCAATTATGACAATCATGTTGCTCTCGAGGATAACTAGGTTGCACATGGCCTCGGATGAACTCCTCGAATGATTATTCATTTGTTTTAAATTTCTTATTTTCTAGAGGGAAGAATTTCGATAAATTTTTTAATGTCGATAATTATTACGGGAGTTGACTCACGATCATCACTAATATCATCATCTTCTGGAGCAACATAATTGTCATAATTGAAAGCGAATGAGGATTTCCTGGGTATGACTCGACTGGAGAAGTACGGTATTGAAAAAATAAATCCTTCCCTCAAGTAAATGGATATTTGGCAAAAATATATTTTTTCTCAGTGAAGGCTCGATTACATTTGAAAATACAAGCCAAAAAGGTAGTCAGGCTATAGAAAATGATATTTTTTTCAATTTAAAAGGTTTAGAAAGGAGCAATAATATCTTGAATCCATCCTAAATTTAACTTCACGTGTTAATGATTTATTAACTTATTTTCACATACAATAGTATCATGCGTGAACGATCAAACATTGTATAAACAAAATTTACAAAATAAAGTATAAGTCTTTACAGCTAAAAGCTACTAGTAGTAGTGGATCACATAGCTTCATACTTTTTTTAGTCTAGTTAAAATGCAATTTGCACTTCACCGACTCCTATTTATTTATTTACTTTTGTTTTATTTTATGCTGTATATCTTAAAGTCAATATTAAATAAGGTAGCTGTTCTCCCTTCTGGCTATTTCAACTAAGAACCAAGTTTAGGGGGTGGGGGTTTATCTTTTTCTTCATATTACAGCAGTAATCATACACTCATTATAATTTAACGATTTTTCATTCTGTCGTCTACATGTAAATATAAAATTATCATCTTTTAGTTTGTTACACCACCGATAGTTGATATTCATATGTATAATTAGTTTTGAATCTGAACTCTGTATATTTTACACTGAAAAAAAAATCATCTTCACTTTTTGTCATGATTCTACGATTATTTCTAATGCCTTCACTGTAAAATGTTTGCCCTACAAATTAATCAATTTTTCTTTAGATCTGTCATTTTATATTTATTCATCGAGGAAGAAGCTTCTTAACATGTAGAACCACCACTTATAATTGGCTGAGATTTTCTTTCAGTATTTGTTTCATTGGACATCTATTTCAATGATCTTCTCTATAATTTTCAATGTGAATATTAATGTTATTACAAAACAATATTTTTATGGAATAATTCATTTGTGGACATCACCAGAGCAATTCAAGTGGTGGCTGCTTTTTAGGAATCTATTGTTTCCCAGTCGTCGGAATTGGAGCCCATTCGTTGATTCTAATGAGAACGAAAAAAATTGCACTGGCAGATTTAATCAATGTTTCATTTCTATATTATGCACTCCCTTACGATTACTGTTGTAAATCAATAATATCAAACTACATTTCATTCAAAAAAACTCCCCAATTCCGCGACATACATTATTTTTGATGATGATTTATTATCAATAAATGTCATATATTTCAAAGAATTTTTTTTTATTTTAAAAACACTCGGCTTTATATGAGGAGTTGTTCTGTTATGTTTGTTTATTTTTCTCACGGTCATTATAAAATCTGCAGTTTAAAAACATCGACGTTAAAATCGTACAATGTCGCTATCATTAAGGCGTATTACATTCTATTTACAGTAAAGAAAAATATACATAGTTGTCAGTATTACAGATTTCTTCCTATGTTACCGTTTTTATTTATTTTTTTTATTTAAAATTCAAGACGTTTGATTCTGGTATAGGTGTCTATGAGGTAATGTACTCATTCATTTTTAATAGTTCCTCCGGTTATTTAAAGAGTATACTTCATCACATCGTGCTTACATGGTTTTTCAAAATTAAAATTGAATTTTTACAGTGTTTCACGTGGGCATAAGAACGTATTAAGAATGGAGTTACTCAAGTAATGATAACAATGTCAATTTGTACAGCAAGGCTGGCCGGATGTCACGTTTAAAAATGGTGCAGCATTCAGTTCTTTCCCCGGCGATATGTGAACGATCCGTAATAATGATAATAAATTGGTATGTTGTTATGGAACCAGAGTCTATGATTATGCAAATTGAGATTCACCAGTTTATTTTATGATCCTCGGAGTATTATGCAAATTTGCAAACGTGATGAATATAAATTTAGTGATTTTTTTTTACCGGTAGCTTTTTTGATTACTTCAATTGTATATAATGTCACAACAATTATCTCATTATTCAATTATTTACAAGCACAGGAGATTTAGTTAAACGATCCATGTATTCTCGTTGCGGCGCTAAATCGGTGAAAAACATAATCTGTTTTGCTCTTTCAGTAAATTTTAATTTGTTTCCAGTATTTGATATTAGTAGGTCATTTATTGTCCGTCATATGTTGGTGTAAGCGAAGGTGTTTGAAGACACCATTAGTATGTGAGGAATTAGAGTGGATGCTTCTATTCAGAGTAATTCGTTAAATAGCACCATCGAAATTTTTTCAAGTGATTGTAAATGCCAATTTCTTCTTTAAGACTCAACTTTTCGGATTTGGTCACTATTTCGATCGTTTGATTAAATTCATTGATTACAATTGTTTTGTTCGTCTATTGATTGAAACCTGAGTCTGATGAAAATACACATGTGCTACAAAGGAATGTCAAACATTGTGCGACGCAAATGATGAGTTATATGTAATAGAAATTGGTCGTCGATGATCGTCGTATAATCTAAAACCGGTATGACACATTTTTAGGCGTGTAAAAATAGTTTATTCATATTTTTTTTTTTCAATTAATTGTCCTCGAAAATAATGTACTGTGGGAAGATGTACAGTTACAACACTGGCAAGACTCGGGCGGTTGAAGATAAAATATTCCATATTTTTTTATAATAATGAAGATATTACTATCACGATTATTATCAATTAACAATTCATGGATTTGCAACTTCATATGTCAGTTATAAATTCAATTATGGAAATGTACTTAAGATTGTGTTCGTTAGATGAAATTCTGGTACTGCAATAAATCCAAAAACACTCACAAATGCCACAAGAAAGAATTCTCTACGATAAAAATATTATTTGCATATCTATGAATAAATACGATTTTTCGGTGTCTTTGGAAATGATTGTATTCATCAAATAATTATGCTCGATTATTATCAAAAACATTCGAATTAAGACTTCAGGTTTTTCAGGAACGTCAACTACTCTTCGTTTGCATCAAAATTTTGAGAAATTTATATCAGGCCGATGATTTTTCTTAAAAAGATGAATAATTTCATTTTGACGTTAGATTGAATTGATTTTATATTTGTAAATTGATTCAATATTGCTAAAACATTTTTTTCAATTATGAGAAGAACCTCCAAGACGTAGAGTGTCTACATAAAATTGGTCAAAATTTTGAGATACTAAAGGAATTCTAATATCACTGTTTCTTTTTCATTTTCGTTAATTCAACATCATCTACAATCGATATCATACAATTGTATAATATTGCATGTATACAATTACATGTATATTGGTATGTACAAATACTCTACCCCCCACCCTTTCTCCTCAGCACATTTACGATTTCTTCCATTCGATTTTATGTTTTTCTTTGATTAATGAGTATTTTATTCCATTGTGGGGAACGGAATTCTCTCCTATACAATAGTTAGGCATTAATTATGTACAGATTCACTCACATTTACACTGAAATGCGATTTTTTTTTTCATACAGGATACGCCGCGTGTTTGCGCGACGATTATTAACTACAATGGTCATTATCAATTATGTTTCTTCTTTCAATTGCATCAGCAATTTTTCTTTCGTGATGAAAACGTCAGCGGTAATGTTTTTGGATCGTTTTCTGCGAATCCGTCGCAGTCAACTTCTTGGATGCCCGTTTGACCTCTGATTTAGCCTTTGAGTTGTCGGATGTTGATGCAGATTTTGATGTTTTCAGGGCTGGTATGGTCTGTTTGTTTCTCGGCACGGGCTGTCGGTCTTTAGTGTTGTCGAGCTCAGCCATCGCTTCTTGAATTGCATTCTCCAATTGCATATTCAGTTTACGATTTCTATGGGTAGGATTAAGATTTTAGAATCATATTTTCTAATTTTGTAGTGTGAGGAATGGATTTTTCAACATGACAGGTAGTTCAGGGTATTCTGACGGGATTACTTTGCTCCAAAAATTCACATTTGATGATGTCTATAGTATTAGTTTGCCACTGTCGACTAAAATATTTCGATACTATTTAAATTGTCCCGTTAACGGCGTTCATTAAGTATTCAAAATTTCGTGAATGGATTAAAAATGTAGAAACTAAAGTTGTAACCATTGACTGTCATCCGTATTAGTATGACGATCACATAGAATTTATTTTCCAAAATATATGTTAAAATTTACAAAATGGAGAAATTAATGGAAAATTTAGAAGAGTCAAACGTTCGTGAGCTTCAAACGAAATAAAATTCGGAGTGACTATAATGGGATATAGCAATCAGTTAATAACTCGGCCATGTAGCAAAAACTTTCATATTTGCATTTGTCTTATCGTGGTCATATGATGCACCACTGATATGTCAAAAAAAATTTGCACAAATCTGGTGAAAACCTTAAGCTTGAATTCTCTTCCGAATTTTCTTTGCATTTTTGACACCCCGCTATAATGCCCTGAATTATCCTCTTCATGTCAAGAATATTTGGGAAAATGAAGATGTATCGGAGAGAATAATGATAGTGCTGGTTAATTTTCAGTTTCCTCGAGCTCAAAATATAATCAACGTTTACTTTGAATATCACACACAAATAATCAATTTCAGAGATTATTGTCACTAATGCCAAAGTTCGGTGCTGTTTTTTACTTTTCAAGGGAAGCATTGTAATAGTTGGAGTTTCACATTCTCTAATTTTACTCGTAAATGATGTAGAATGTCATAAAATAAAGAAACATAAAGAAATAATTGAGATGGGAAGTCTAAGGTGGTTGGGATCCTTGTACATCTTGCTATAATTTTTGTTCAATATTTTTTAATTTTACAACACAAAATCATAAAATTTTCGAAACATTATCGTTTTTCTATTTTATTACTGCTCAACATTCATTTGTGTGTAATGGTTTAAGGTCGGGAGGAACTTTTGAACCTTCGCTTCGACGACCTTTGTGTTTCCAAGCGTGGTGTAAGCTCGATATAATTAGAATTCGATGAGTTACAGTCAATAAAAAATTATAAAATCCATATTTAATTGAAGCTACAGTATTCCTTTTTTCAATGTAATTTGTCTGGTCGAGTTACTCTCTGAAATTTTGGAAAGGGTCATTCACATTTTCATGCGTCGATACCACGTATCGATCCCGTATACGTGAGGGGTTAAACTTCTATACAAAATTGCAAGTTGATTGACACGCCTTTGGAAACTTGCGAAAGCCAATGGAATTGCTGGAAATAAGAAAGGGGAAAAATGAAGAGTCAGTTTTTCTGTCTTTCTGCGTGTCTTCTGTCGGATCCCTCATTTTTAAAATTTTTATTCATAGCTTCTGGATTACTGTTGAGGTACCTCAATCACTCACAGATGATCAAAATTTTGTAATATGATGGGGACTCAAAATTTGGATCACATGTTGTTAGACACATTGAAGAAAAATTATCAGAATTTTAAATAGATTATCCACGCCATTCTTTAGATATGCGTAGAAAAACATTAAGTTTGAATGTTTTTTGAATTCTTAACCATATATATATCCAAAATTGGTATGGGAGGAAAGATTGAAATTAAAAAAAAATTTTTTTCATCACGCTGTGACGAAAAGTGAATTTTTCGGCACGCTCCACGTGCCTAAAAGTCCACTTTCCGGCACATTGTGATGAAAAATATTGTTCGTAACTCGTGAAAAAATGTTTCTTGGCTCGTGGGATTATATCACTCGCCTTCGGCTCATGATATAAACCTACCACTCGCCAAAAAACGCTTTTTTGCACTCGTTACGAAATATACTATTAACGTGTCCCACAATATATGTTCGAAATTTTGTGTTCCTACCACATTGCGAAATATTTATTACCGTTTTACTTAGGAAGTATCTTAAATTTCGAGTAGGGAATATCCTAATAAAAAATTGCGCATTCAGACTATTCAGACCAAACAATGACCTTTGAGAAGCATTGATACTATGTCAGCAATTTGACTCATGACAAATTAACCAGCTTTGAAATTATTCTCTCCATTAGCTTGACTTTTCACCAAAGGTTGTAAAATCATCAATTATTTCGGAAATTGCACTGAGGGGAAAAGTAATGGACAATAAATTGTTTTCTCTCCAGAAAAGTCTTAACTAAAAGTCCGATTTTGCATGCGGTTCTCACCTAAATTATGTAACTTTTAATACTGATCATTCAGTTCATATTATTTTCTTCTCAATCTTCAAGTAAAAAAAATATCATATTAAATAACGAAATTTTTTCCTCAGTTTATCTTACCAAATTAGAAATAATTCTCTTCATATCGGAAATTTCTGATGAATTAATAATACTCTAACAAGAAAGCTATACATCGACAATAGAATCCCTCAATAAATAGCAATGGGGACAAAAGCGCCAAAGACGACTGTAAAAATAAATCTAACAGACACAATAAAAGCGCATGACAAAAAATCGTCGCTGCCAACAACTATAGGGTGTTTCCAGGTGATTAGTACATGAATGTTTATTGATCAAATAAGACATCAACTAGCTTTGAAATTATTCTCTCCATTATTGCTTAACTTTTCTCCAAAGGCTGCAAAATCATCAATTATTTGGGGGATTGCACTGAGGGGAAAGGTAATAGACCATAAGAGTTATTTTCTCTCCAGAAAAGTCTTGACTAAAATTCCGATTTTGCATGCGGTTCCCATCTAAATCATGTAACTTCCAAAACTAATATTTTAGTTCATATTATTTTCTTCTGAATCCTCAAGTAAAAAATATCATGTTGAATTATGAAATTTTTCCTCTCAGTTTATCTCACCGAATTGAAAATAATAATTTTCCTATTGGATATTTCTAATGAATTAACAAGACTCCAACAAGAAAGCTATACATTGACAATAGAATCCCTCAATAAATAGCAGTGGGGACAAAAGCGCTAAAGACAAATATAAAAATAAATCTAACAGAGACAATGAAAGCGCATAATAAAAAATCGTCGCTGACAGCAACTGTAGGGTTTTCCCAGATGGTTAGTACATAAATGTTTATTCGTCAAATGAAAAATCTCATCCCTGTCGGGTACGTGACTCACTTCCTAAATCTTTTTCTCGCTCGATGATGGGCCTCAAGACCATCGGATAGGGACTTGAGATTCTTGATATCAACCTGGGTGAGACCGCCCCCGTTCCCGTACCAACGTACCCAGACTGTCGAGGTGCCTTGGGGCCCAAGTGACTCGACTTTGCCTGGCCAAGCAGGACTTCCCAGTGCCGCACCCCAAACGAGCTCACCAACTTCGAGTTTCCAATTTCCGGTATCTCTCTGAGCCTCGGATACTAGTTTTCCAAATAAATGAATAATTTAGCCTCATTTCCGTGTACATTACAGTGAAACTCGGATTTTAGTAATTAATTTTCTTTGATGAGTTGATGAATTATTGAGGGTAAAATTGCTTTCACGATTTAATGAACCCAAAACCACAAACTCCACGCGAATTTGTTAGGATTTTAATGTTGGAGGTAATGCGAATAATACAAGCTAAATAATGGTGCTGCAAACTTATCAGGGTGACAGTAGAGTTGTGAATAATGCTCGAAATGATGATCTAAAATGTTCAACTAATTCGACCTGAAAAAGACTTCTTTCTTTTCACATGCAGTTGGTCGCGCTATGAGCGCCGCTCCGCCCTTTTTTGATTTTTTAAATTACACTGCAGTAAAGCCTCAGACAAATTTGAAAAACTTGAACATTTCATTTTTAAGGGTCTGGAAGCCCTATCAATGAAAATATCCGCCAAAAATATCATAAGGCAGTTGGATTTTCATATTTTTATTTCGAAACTCCGTGTACCGCGTGTGAGGCGAATTTTCAGAAAAACATGACAACTTTGAGCTTGTATATATTGTTAAGGGTAACACTGAACATGAAAAATCTCAGGGGACTTCTTCAAGCATACGATCTAGATCACTCTTGATTTTCTTTCAGATTTTTCCTAAATCTTTCAAATTTATCATTATGTTGATTTATGCGTTCATAACTTTTGCGCGACCAACGGAGTGTGAAAGGAAGCCACGGGAACATTTCCAAGTCCCGAAATTTTTTGTAACCATGAATTATAGAGTCTTTAGTATTCCTTAGAAGCCTTCAAAAAATGCAAAAGAAGCAAACTCCGGAGAATTTTGAGGAGGAGAAGTAATCGAAAGGGGCCAAATTTTGAAAATCGGTCAAGTGCTGAAATTGCTAATCGATGAGCTAAAAATTGATTCATATTATTTGGTCATACGTATTTATATTATTTGTATTATTTACTTTCTGTATTTTCAACTATTCAGTATTGAAATCGTGAAACGAGATGGGTCATTTCTCCTCGGAGTCCTATTCAAAAGTCTTCAGAAAAATTGATCAATCGCCTTGACGCGGCTCGAGCGTATATATATTGAGAAAAGCGGGGATATTTTGAGACATGTACACGCTTTTATGAGTGAACTAAAAAAGATGATCCTTAACTATAAAGGTCCTTTATCTTATTCGGGAGTGGCTGAAAATGGGCTAAATCATAATGCAAATCTGTGACCTTGTCTCCCAATTTTATATAAAAAATCGTAGGGGTTTATATCAAATGATCTCGCATATCTGGATTATCAATCGCATTTTTTATAATAACAAAGTGAAGATCTCTCGCGTTCATCTTCGGCTCCGATTATAAAGTCACATTCGTCAAATAATACTTTTATCGCCGTGTGACATGCAATATTTTATGTCATTGGGCCGAATCGCTTCGCTCGGTGCAATCGCGGTTCATCGGGCCTGATAACATAAAGCACATTTCTAACTAAGGATCATGTTTTTAGTTCCCTCATAAAAGCCTGAGAATGTCCTAAAAAATTCTCGCTTTTTTCAATGTATATAACTAAGCTCGAAGTGCGTAATGTTTGGAAAAATTACATCAAAGACATCCTGAAGTTCAGTTAAAAGGAGGTTCACACCGGGAACAAAATTTTTCGTTTTTCGAGAAAAAAAATTTTAAATAATATTTTCCGCATGATTTTTCCTCAGGAATCTGACTTCGCCGGTAAAAATTATCTCCGGTCACTCAAAATTAGGAAGTCGATTTTTTAAAATCAAAAAGTTAACAAAAATCTCCAACGTATTTTTTCAAAATAGATTTTTGAATATGATCACAAGTTTTGGCTCCTTGATTATCAAAAACGTGGGAGAAGGTACATTTCGAAATCTATACGTTTATTAAAATTTCTATTGATATCTCAAGAATACAAATTTCTTACCCAAGTATTATGTGTAAATTTTATTTATCAATGCTCACTTCCTGTTTATTGGTTCTTATACATCTACCTAGTCTTTCGTTACTCTATAGTTGACTGAGCTCCTCTCAGTAACCCAGATTTTGCTCGTGAACTTCCTCCTCGAAATTCAAATGGGAGCATTTTTTCTGTACGGTTTCTATTAATTTTTTATTATTTTTGTGGAAATTTATTCATTCTAATTGATACTCATAAAAATTTTCGAGAATATAATCGATCCATTGAAATTAAAGACTTTTTTTGATTCACCAATAAACTTAAAAATGTATCTTCTTCCATATTTTTAATAATTAAGGAGCGAAAATTTTTGATCATCTTCGAAAAACTATTTTAAAAATACGTTGGGGATTTCTTTACGTTAATTTCCCCATTAAAAAAAATCAGATCTCTCATTTTTAGCGCTCGGAGACGATTTGACTTACAAAATCGGATTCCTGAGAAAAAATCACGCGCAAAGTGGTATTTCAATTTTTTTTTTCCGGGTTGAACCTCCCCTTAAGGGGAGACTACTATGAGTTTCAAAAATCGAAGGTCATTGGAGTGAGATTTTTCACACAGTGAAGATCGATTATATATATCTAAAAATGAATAATTAGTGCAAAAAAATAATTGTTTATTGTTAGTTTGCCCCGTACATGCTTAAAGTGTTGAAAATAGTCCAAGGTCTCCAATTTTTGAGCTGCAGAGGTTTTTTTGCAGAATCTTTGAAAAAATGTGTACAATAACAATTACGAGCTAGTCTTTTGAAATTCAACTCCTATACAGCTAATTTCATTTTTTTAATATAAAAACTAGAACCATTCATGTAAAATAAACAAAAAAATGGTTAGTGATGCCGCGAAACACTTTACGAGACAAAACTTTGGCGCGATGATCTCGGTCTCAACGAACATGAAAATCTATTGGTCTCGTCTCAGCCTCGAAATACGCAGTTATCGACTCTCGTGATGACTCCGAGTCAATATATCTCATCTCGGACTCAAGTTTTTCGCGATTTTTAATGTAAATTTCTGATTTTTGTCTCGGTTTGTCTCTTCTCGGTTTTCTACATATGAAAAACGCGAAAAACTGGAAACCGAGATGAGATAAATTGACTCGGAGTCATCACGGGAGGAGTCGATACTGCGCATTTCAAGACTGAAACGAGACCAGAAATTTCCGTGTTCACCAAGACCGAGATAATCCCTCCAAAGTATTGTCTCGTGATGTCTCGTAAAATGTCTCGCGGCATCACTAAAAATATTTCAGAAAGAATCAAGAATATAGTTTAAATATTTTGAAGAACATTTTCCTGGATATCTTACATGAATGGTGCAATTTTTTAAATAATAAAAAAAGAATCAGCTGTGTAGATGTCGAGTTAAAAAAACTCGTAATTCTTGTTGTACACTTTTTTCCAAAAATATTGAAAACAAAAACATTCGTAGGTCAACAAGTAGAGGCCTTGAACTATTTTGTAACACTTCAAGCATCTGCGAGGCAAATGAACAATACACAATTAATTTTTTTGCCCTAATTATTCGTTTTTTGCCAAATATAAATCTCACTCCAATAGCTCGCGAATTTTAAAACTCACAGTGGTCTCCCCTTAAGGGGTAACAGAAGGCCGCCGTATCCCTGAAAGTTTCAAACAAATTTGCTGTGCAAAGTTATTAATATTTTTGGAATCCAAAGCCCATTGATCTTCATCATCGCCTCCTGGAGATTATTGTGTTTTGTTTTCGAAAAATATCGATAACGTTCGGCAGGAAATTTGTTCAAAAATTTGGGAAATTAAGGGCATTCTGTTACCCCTTAACTCCTCTTCCCCTACTACTTCGCTTCTGCTGATCACCAGATGATAACAAAATGAATTCGTGTGCACCAAGCTCGTACAAAATCTCCAACTGTTAACGCGAAAAAGCGACCAGAATTACATTTCCGGTTTGCATAAAAAACAAATGTATTTAATCGATGAGAACCTAAAATGTCTTTCACCTCTTCCGAATCTGGCATGCGGGGAATTTCATGATTTCAATGTACAATTTTCTTTACATTCAATAAATGAGGGATTATCATGACTTGCAAAAAATATGGATTAAAAATGTGAGCCACACCCCGACGGAAATGAATTTCACTCAACAACGTGAATTACTCGTCAATCATCACGTCAGTTACACCAATAGTGTCCTGTTAAATTTTTTCCATCCATCGTGTCACACCATATGACGTACAATCGGAAAAATGTCAACCCAAATTAACCTGCCACTGAATAACGATTATGCTTCATTAAACTCCCAGAAGCGGTGCTGATGAATGAAAAATGGAAATGCGTTTTTTAGTGCTGTACTTACCTTCCTCAATAAATTCTCCATTATATACATTTTTAATCGAGTAAATGGAGTTAGTAGAGAGGAAAATTACTACAAAGTTGAATCCATCCAACGTTTGCAAATTACCTCTCAGTTGAAGGACTTTAATAATCATTTCGAGTCCTCATCAGAAGCTATTAAGTGCGTGGGTGCTTTATGGCTTTTCAGCAGTTGTGAGAGAGTAATGGAGAAACAAGCCAATGCGCATATTACCCATTGAAATTAGTTACAACGAAGCATTTACGCAAATGAAAAAGAAAAATGACTCATGCCAGTGCCACACGAACATGCGAAGGAATAGTAATGATCAAAAATACATTTCCTATGCGAATGGACATTGATTGAATGAACAATTAATGTTGAGAAAAATTGAATCACTGATCGTTTCAATTTTTGCCGGAGATGGCAGAAAACAAAGTGTGAAACTGCGTTCAATTGCCCATTCAATCAACGGAACAACATTTATACTCGACTGAGAGAAAATAGAAAGCATTATTTGTTCTTTCTCGGTTCTCATCGTGAAGCGAAAACTATTTCCAACGGCAGTAAAGCAAGTTGAATGATCTAATAATTTCTGATTCCAACTGATGGTTTAAATTTGAACGAACGATGCTCGCCATTTACCCAGTACCAATAAAACCCCCACATACACTAAATGTTCACTGAAGTTTAGAGTTACAATTGAGTTTAACGACTATGAAATACAATGTATAGTACTGACCATCGTGGTCTTCATGCAGAGTAGAATGCATCGAGTGAATGGAGTCCAGTTTTCGTTTGATTCCACGTCCAATGTGATCCCTCCCCTCGCATCTCATCGTACTCACGACACCCTCGGTTTGCTTCAATGTCTCTGTTGTATAAATCTGTTGGATAATCAACGCTTTGTCAAACCCACATAACACTAATATCTACCATACTCATGCTGATATAATGTGTAAAGGAGGAGAATTAGTTTTCATTCAATTACTGAGAGATGAACTGTCTTTCACGTATGAAAAAATCCTATGCAGAATTTGAACATTTCCGAAGAATTCCAAAAAGTCATTGCCTGAATTTTCAAAATTTTCAAGGTTTTTCAGTGCCGTATGGAGCTGAAAATCGAGAATTACTTGAATATTCAAGAAATTAACTGATTCGTCAATGAAGAAATATACGGAAAATTCATGTAACTTTGTCGTTGAAAATTTCAAGCTTTTTCACTTGAAATTTAAAGAGTAATTTTTTAACAGTGTACTGGTGATGAATATTTGCAATGAGAGAAAAATTTTCTAATACGTAGACCATATTTAGTTGAGAGAAGTAAATTAATTTCACTAACTAAAATCTTAAAATGTTTGCGCTTCACGAAACTCGAATCAATTCTGATTTATCACTGTCGTTCTCCGTTACATCATGAATATATTACATATCGAAATATCGGGAGTGCATAACAAAAAAATCACGAAAACAATAAATACTTGAAGATTGAGGATTCAATTGCGCGATTTGAGTGGATTCATTTGCGACAAAATTATAGATGAGTTCAAGAATATTTTAACCCTAGTTTGGTCACCCTAGGAGGGAAACTCCGCCGCGCGTTATTTTTCTTCAATTACAACTGACACGCTAACCGGAAAAATTCAAAAAAATTTGACTTTGTCAATTGAATTGTCGAAAAAATTATAGTATTTTTTAGAACAACATATTTTCCAAAATTGCTAAAGAAAACAAATTATTTCGGACAGATGAATTATTTTTTCCCATGGTAAATGAAATTGCCCATGACGCGACGTTGCCGGAAACTCGGTAAACGCGCCCGGGCATTGTAGAGTGAATTCGACAACGTTGAAGCCCAAATAACACGGCGGGGAATCCCCGCGGAGGTAACCGAAGTCACAAAGTCGCGTTTGATGACCAGACTAGGGTTAAAGCACGAGAAAAATTACTTATCTCAAGTAAATATCTTTTAGATATTTGAAATTTGTTTCTCAGTGTGTGAAATACTTGTTGAAAACATTTTCTGTACCTGACAGTATAAATGAATTGGTGGCGTGGAGAAGAACTATTAATAATTCAGTAGCGAAGTGGTCAAACGGTTTAATTCAGTTTGGTCTTTATTTGAGTTTTCCAGAAATATTTCCGAATTTAAGGGAGATAGCGAAATTTTCATAATAACCTTTTTTGTAGAGCGAATTGAGTGCTGCTAAAAAGGTTGTGAGAAAAATTTTGCTATCTCCCTTAGATTTCGAGATATTCATTGAAAACTGGTCTATAGCCAAAATCGACTTGAACCATTTGACCACTTCGCTACTGAATTAATGAGTAATGATCGCATAATCTACATGGAATAAACTGCCGTCAAATTAAGATTCAAAGAAACCTTTACGAATGGAAATAACGATTAATGGGCTCCACGAAACAGTTCTGAACGAAACCAGACTTGAGACAAAGAACAGAAATATTGAATTGAAAATCATGCAGCACAACAATACTCATCCAAAATTAATTTTTCTGTAAGAGCTATGTTTATTTCTCAGAGGAGAATACGTGAAGAGCAATGATTTTGAGACTTGCATTCCTAGAGCGAAAAGAAAGTAAAGAATGTTCGATTTTATTTCTCTTGGGAATTTCTTGGAAATTGAAGGAAGAAAAATGACATGAAAAACTAATTTGAATAGTGTTTCGAGCCAATGGAATGTTTCACTTCTGACTTAGCTCATGTTTGTATTATTGATTTGTTGAGACATGCAAAGGTCAAACGCAAACGTTTTTTTACACATGCTCATTATTGGGGTTATTTTCGAAGAATTGCCAATTGTTATTCTTTGAGCATGAATTTATTTTGAGTCATTTTGATATTCCATAAAAAAAATCAACGGATGATTTCTGAATCCTTCCGTCAATTACAAAATTACATTATTGCAATGTATCAATAAGGAATTTTTAAATAATGTGAAATGCTACAATTGTGAATAATGTGCTCGCTAAGAAATAAACAAAAAGTGTTAAAATAATTCATATTAACCAATTACAAACTTAATAATACATCTAAAATTAGTCATTTCAATAATTCTCAATAAAAAAATGAAATCGTTTAAAAACCTTATAAACAATATAAGCTAAAAATCTCGATGTAAATAATTTCTCGAGTATAATTAAAATTTACATGGAATGAAATTGATTCGAAAGAACGAAAAAACAATACGTGAATTTAATCATCGTCAACCGATGAATCATCAGTTTCATCGTCCGACTGATTCACGTAAATAAATTGATTATTAACAAATTGATTAACAAATGGGTTACTCGCTAGATAATTAACGACAGTTGTGCCACTTGTGTTACTTTTACAATCATACAAATGTGGGTAGAGTCGAGTTGATAATGGAAAGTTGAAAACTTTCTGATTACCAACAGCTGACGATAGATACACTCCTTCATTCCGAGTTACCAACGACTTTTGTTCCAAGTTTTCCGTCTCAGACCCATCATCATTTCTGCATTTGTATGATTGTAGCTCCTGTAAGCCAACATTTGAAACTTGTTCATCAGTTAAACGTGATGAAGTTAGCTTATTATTCGAAATTAGTGTATAATCAGCGTGGTCTGGCACAATACTACGGTGATTATGATGATTATTTTGATTTTCAACGGTGTAATTATTATCACGATTAATGACAGATGAATAATGCCCATTGTCAGAGTCACTGTATTTCCATGATTTTCCAATTATTCCAATTGCATTGACTGTACAATTTTGTGATGACGTGTCCATGTGCTCCTGTGATTCGTATGTGTTATCAGGGTGTGTCGTATCGGCTTGCTGGTGCATATCTACTAAGGTTAGATGGTGGGTACTTGGTTTGACGTGGTTACCAACCTGTATCCCAGTTGTCACGGTTGATTCAACGTAAGTTTTGCCGTTTAGACCGGGCTGATTCAGGGTTATTTCCTTGGCTATGCCCTGGATTCGCCAATCGTCTGTTGTGGCCTGAATGTCACCCGAGTCCGGCTCGCTGCTGGAGATGCAGTGGACCATGGGCTGGAAATTAATATTCTTATTCGTTAGTACAATTTATTCTAGAGGAAGTTTCACAGCCCTTTCCATTCTGAAAATCTAGGGGAAATATTTATCCCGTTTGTTAAACTAAAAAATCTCCGAAAATAGTACATTTCGTCACTTGTGCGTAAAGTGAAATTTTCCGACTTCCCAGATTGTGGTGAAAAATAGGGTTCGACACTCGTGAGGAAAAAGTTCTTTGTCCCTTGGAAGGGTAGCGCTCGCTGAAGGCATACACCTCCCACGGGTCAGAAAAAATTTTTATGTGATACCTGCCTCAAAAGTGCACTTTTCGAAACGGCTTAGTGTGCGGAAAGCGGCTGTTTTCCGCACACGCTCTTGAACTTTATCCACTCGTGCACAAAAACAACCACATTAGCCTCACTATCGGTCCGTTTACGCACTAGTAACACAATATACTATTACGCACTCGTATCAAAATATACTATTCGATACTTGTAACGAAATATACTATTTTGACACCGCTGCTACGTTCACCTCGTGTCGAAAAGTGCCTTTTCGTTTACTAGTAAACGAAAAAAGGCACAGTTCGCCACTCGCTGAACGTAACATCACTGTCAAAAACTAGTGTTCGACACATGTGAGACAGGAATATTCAGCTCGTGTGATTGGCAGCCCTCGGTTTCGCCTCGGGCCGCCAACTTCACACTCGTGAAAATTCTGTCTCACTCGTATCGAAATATACTATTGTATTACTAGTGCGTAAAGTTGTACTTTTTTGCAGGAAAGCGCAACACATCCTATTTTTTGAAACACCTGCGGAGTTCAGTTTTCGGGGGTGCAGTATGGGTGCAGTATATTTCAATACGAGTGCGAAATAGTATACGGTGTTACTAGTGCGTAAAGTTCCACTTTTTCACACGCACGTGTAACACATCCTATTTTTTGTGGTCACTGCCGACTTCACCGTTCGAAATGCTAGTGGGGATAATGTGATTGTTTTTGTACGCGAGTGCGTAAAGTGAATTTGTAGTGCGTAAAGCGAAGCTATGTTTGTTTTTTTGCAAGGAGTGCGTAAAGTCACGGTCATGCGTGAAGTAAATTTAGAGTGAGTAGAATTTACTTTACACACGACCTCTAAATTTTACGCATGTCATGCGGAAAGCAAACACGCTAAATCGCCCCGAAAAGTGAATTTTTCAAGCAGGTGTTACAAAAAATGATTGAAAATACTCGTATTTCATGAGTATTTAAATTGATGGTGATGTACATTTGAGCTCTCAAAAATAATGATTTATATGTAAATTTGGTAAGTGTCCGCAACATTTAGGAGAATTGAAATCGGAGAAAAGTATCCAAAAATGTTGTGACTCTCAGAATGAAAAGGTCTGTTCTATTATGTTATTTGGAGAACAATAGCTAATCTGAAACGATCAGTGCTCGAACCCCACCCGGGATTGAACTGATTCACATATTAATGGTAGGACACATGAAATATATATTGGAATGGGACTTTTGTCCTCTTTAAAACCTAATGTAATTTTCCTGAATTTACCAAGTCCCTATTATTTTCATATACAAGTTATATACGAGTTATTACTGAATTTTATTCGCTCAATCACTGGTATTTGACGACTCTCATTCGTTCGAACACTGAGCGAAACGTCCTGCAATAATTTGCGATAGCCGTTTCTCCGGAAAATTATTGAAGGTTCTCGAAGAATTACATAGTAATTTTGCACATAGTAATTTTGGCGCATATGAAAAAATTTTCTCAACAATTGAAAAGCACACGGCGATGAAAAAATGAATTCTACCAAATTTGCAAATCTTGAACGGGTCAACGTGATCAAATTTGTAAATCGACAGCGTTCTGTGACTAAAATATTGCTATCTGTTGTGTTGGATTAATGTCACCAAAAAATGAATTTGATAGAGAAAAAAATTAATGCATTTTTTTACGGAAACTTTTATGCAATTGCGTTCATGAGAAACTACGTGAGTGTATAAATATAAGTGCATAGTATAGTATATAAAAAAATATAGAAAACAGAAAAGTCGATTATTTAAAAGAATTTTTTCCGGTAAAATACGGAAAAAAAAAATTTTGAAAGATATTCAAGTTTTTATTATTGATGATATAAGGCGCCAAAAAATCTACAGGGGCCAAAAAAGCTGGTGCCAAAATATTTGGCGCCAAAACTACGACGGCAAAAAAATTACTCTGCTTACTGTTGCCCACTCCACCACTGAATCGTACTTGTCACATTGACAAAAAAGAAGACTCAGTTTCTAAACCCTTTCTATTTACTCAATTTAACTCACCGTTGATGACGAATGGTGCCGAGCACTAATCGGCGGCGCAGGCGAAGCTGCCCCATGGGTCGTAGTATCCACAGCAGGACTGTTGGACCTCTGACTATTACCCGGACTGTGGGTCGTGGTATCCGGTGGTGAGCCTTGCCTCATCAATGCCGACTGTCCCATATTGGCTTGATTCCCAGCTGTTTGCGTTGACACTGAATGCCTAAACATGAAAGTGCTAAATTTTCCACTCTGTCGTATTTTTTTAACATTCCCACTATTCCCACCACCCGAAGTACTATTTAATACGAACTGTTGTTGCGTTTGTTGATCGATACTCTGTTCTGACGACGGTGAACTAATAGTGCTCTTTGGTGACGTTGGTGACTTTCCCTGGATCATTCCAGCGCTCAGAATGTACGACTGATTGTGATCGAGACTCAGAGACGGATCGACATTTCCATTGCTCGTTGCGACTGTCTGAAAATCTGGAATCTGATTATTCGAGACCATGGTCGTCTGCTGTTGTACAATCGTGGTATTCTGTTGAACAAATGTCGTATTCTGCTGGTTTGACGCCGACGAGACAGCTAAATTCTGTGCAGTGGCGCAGGGGACCATGAGGGTCTGTCCATTCATCTGAATGAACTCCTGTTGACCCTGAATATTAGTCGGCCTCACTTGAGATGTATTGAAGGTCACCTGCTGATTGGGGCTGACATTAGCAACAATCGGACTCAACTGATTCCCAAAAGAAGTCGTTCCATTGACGAGAAACTGTCCACTGTTTGGAGAGAGGAACTGCGCGCCTGGACTGTGCTGCTGAATGATCTTGCCACCCCCCGCTTGAGGCGCTCTGATGACCATTCCTGCAGGTCCAGCTGCGAGGATACTCTGGCTGGGACTGAAGATGTTGGAATGGCTCTGCACCGGCGTCAAAACGTTCTGACCATTGACATTCTGAATCTGGAGCTGCATCCCGAGGTTGCCAGTGTCCTGCAGCAAAGTCGCAGTTCCATCAGCAGACATCACCATGCTCCCCAAGCCTGGCACAATGAACTGCTGGATAGTCGGAAAGTTCTGGACCATCCCAGTTGCGCCATTCAGCAAATTAACCGGTTGCAAGAGGTTAATCTGCTGCGTTGGTTGTGGATTGGTGATGATTTGTTGGGTGTTGAACTGCGATGTGGCCCCAGCCTGTCCATTCATCACAAGTTGTGCAGGTGCCCCACCCTTCCCAGGTACTATCGTCAACGCCTGGAGCATTGGCCCCCCAATACTCTGCGTCTGGAAGTTCTGCTGAGCAAAGTTCGATTGAGACTGCATCAGCATCCCCGTGTTCTGTTGGGACGAGGCAATATGCAGCATAGAAGCCACTGTCTGTGTATTACTCTTTCGTTTCTTGTAGACCTTCTTCTTGCTCATCCCCGTCTCCGGTGATAGCAGCGCCGGCTGTCTATTCACAATGCTATTAGTACTAACTGTCCTAGTCACATCCTGATTCGCCTCGATAATTGATTGTGCATTCTGGAGGACGTTGCCAGTGGCAACTGTTAAATGAGGTATTTGAACGTTCTGTCCAATTCCATCCATAGTCATAACACTTGGCTGAATGAGCACAGGCGTTTGAATAGTATTGACGAGAACAGTGGGTTGACCAATCACCTGTTGCGCTACACCAACAGCGGGTATTACTTGGCTGACAGCCCCAGTAACACTGGTTACCATTGGTGAGACTGACAATGGAGGCATTGAACTGGCGTTTGAGATTATCTTGGGAGGGGGTGGAGCCATGACTCCACTAATTCCTGTGCCAGTACTTGCCATTATCAGTTGACCACCGCTGGATACTAAGATGTGACCTGGGGGGAGGGTTGACGCAGCTGAGTGCTTCAACATTCCTGTTGACGTTAATACATTGTGAACTTGGACATTCGACTGTTGTTGTTGTTGCTGGTGTTGTTGTTGCTGCTGATGTTGTTGTTGTTGTTGTTGCTGATGTTGTTGCTGCTGCTGTTGCTGTTGTTGCTGCTGATGTTGTTGTTGTTGTTGCTGTTGTTGATGCTGCTGCTGCTGTTGGTGATGATGATGCTGGGTTTGATGAGTCTGATGATGTGGCACGGTTGAGCTTGCACTCGCCTGAGGTACTTGAATACTACTAACAACACTCTGCACCATTTCCAGTGGAGACTTGGAAATAATTGTACTGTGCGTCTGACCGTGACTGATTGGAGTTGAATTCGTTGGATGCACAATGGCTGACGTGACGATGCTCGCTGGTGTTGCAGACTGATGCTGAGGTTTAGTTGACAGAATATTCGGAATCGCGGAATTGGGAATGCCCGAGGGCGTATTGATCGATACAGTCGCTGTATTAGCTTTGCCAGCTAATACCGAGGTTATTGTGTTGGAGCTGAATGTGTGACCACTGGCCATTGTTGTGATTACCGTGGAATTACTGAAGGGGATCATTGGCAAACGCACAGAGGCAATGGTGTGAGGGTGGGGTTGATAGCCCTCGGGTGTTTGTTGTCGTGCTGCAGACTTTTTTGACAATGGGGGTGAAGGATTTTCGGAGGGGATCGTCCTTTGGGGAGACGTACTCGGCGATAAAGTACTCGATGCTGAAGTTATGGAGAGCGGTTGTTCTTGATTTTGATTGACTGAAGACTGGGATGGTTGTTGGCTGACTGGTGTCAATGATTGCGGAGGAACTTGATTTGAATGGGGGGTTGGGGGTTGAGAGTAACTGTGAGGGGTCGATGGTTGTGATGAAATGAGACTTTGAGGTGTTGCAGGCTGGGAGATCCCGGATGCTGACGAGGAAGGAGTGTCAGAGTTCGCTGGACTATTTGTGCCGATTGGTGATCCGTGACTTGTGCTGATGGTTCCACCTTGGATCGGTCTCGAGTCCATTTGCTGGTTCATCGAGAATCTTTCATTGAAGGTAGACGACGTCACTGGGTCTTGATCCGTGTGCAGCAGGTACTGACGATGCATCTGCTGTTTATACTGGTCCTGCACGTACTGAGTATCACCACTGGTCACACAGCCCTGGCATGAATTGTTGTCGGAGTCATTGGTATTGCTACCAACTGACGTTGGAGTCATACTGCTGTGGACGACCACAGGTGATGTCGCGTGATTCTTCACTGAGTTTATTGACGAACTGGTGGGACTCGTTGCTGAGGAAGGCTTCTGTTGTGGAAGATAACTTGAGGGATTCGTTGGGTGGTTAGTCTGCACGAGTTTTGGAGTGCTCATCATCATCTGCGAACTGCTGACTCCAGTTTGCCTGGATATCGTGCTGTTTAGCAGAGCAGTCTGTTGAGCTAGGTAACCACTGGGATCCTCCAGGAAGCTTGGCGAATTACTGACTGTTGAGCCAATCTGATTATTCGATTGGGATTTGTCAAAGTCATCCCTCGGACTAGGGCTAGATTGTTCGACGTTGTTGCTTCTAATTTCTGCTATGTGATGTCTCTGTTTTTTGGCCATGGATTTACTGGGCTTCGCCTTCTTCCTGGCCACTTCATCCGGCCAAGTTGGAGTTGGAGGAATGTGATGATGAAGAGGAGGTACTCGATCCATGGTGTTGCACGTGATGTTCTGGACTGATACTGGGGGTGATTGGTGAGAAGGCTGGATGGTACGGTTTTGCTGCCACATTTGGGCTCGTTGGTTGAAATGGACATTATTAGGCTGTCCAGAAGGTACAGTAGCTCCCATAGGGGACTGAACTTCAATAATATTTCCACTCGTCGGACTTCTCCCAGCTTGACTCACCAGCATGTACTGCTGATGTCCCTTGATCTCCATATTCGCACCCTTCGACTGATCACAACTTCTCTGGAACTGCACCTGGTGCTGACTATACATTCTCTGCATATTATCGTGATTTATATTCTGCAAATTTCCATTCTGCACGTGATGTCTCTGCATTCCGTGATTATGCATTAGCAACTGCTGCTGAGATATCTGCTGAGACATTTGCTTGGTATTGATGTCCTCCTCACCGATACTAGGTGTTCGATTATGCCTAATTTGAGATTCCGTTGAATTCATACCCGGCATTATCGATCCATTCGGCTGTACAATATCCACATGATGGTTCATACCCGAGTTATTGTACTGTTGTTGCTGATGCTGAAGCTGCATATGAAACTGGTCATGCGTTTGATTTTGCATCATGTGTTGATTCTGATTCTGCTGATGTTGCATGGAGTGCTGATGGAACTGATGCATCTGGGGGTGCAATGGACCCTGTCCCGAATTCGGATTTTGCATGTGATGAACAAAATTCTCATTCCCATGATGATTATTGTAATTCGTAATTTGTTGCTGACTAGCGTCCTGGGAATTGTGTTGATGCTGTTGAACATTGTGCTTCTGCATCTGCTGCAGATGAATCTGTTGTTGATTCATGTGCTGCTGCTGCTGCAACGTGTGCACAGACTGATCGTTCATCTGATTAACGTAATGAGAATTCTGTTGATGATTCAACTGATTCGATATAACGTTCTGATGATGCTGCTCCTGCTGTTGTTGCTGCTGTTGCTGCTGCTGTTCGTGCAGAATCTGCATCTGTTGCATCTGCTGATTGTGAATCGATTGCCCCTGGTTTTGCTGCTGATACTGCGATATGTGTTGCTGCATCAACTGCTGTTGCTGCGCTTGCTGTTGCTGCTGTTGCAGTATCATTTGCTGCTGTTGTTGACTCATGTTATTAAAATTTGTACCCTGCTGATTCATTATCAACGGATTACCCATCAGCATACTTGTCATATTGTGTTGATTCAGTCTCTGTTGGTTATTCCTCACTACACAACCATTCACGTCGAGATTCGAGGGGGAGCTCAATGATTGATGGCCTATCTGCTGGCTATTCTGCTGAATCGGCAGAGCAGTTATTGGCCACACCTAAAAAGATTGATTTATCAATTGTTTTTTACCCCCTATTCGTCTGGGGATGACGCGGAGTAATGCGTCTTTTAATTGATGCAGATAACTTTTTTCATTAGAACATACCTGTGATCCGTTGTTCGATGGTAAACTCTGAACCCCCGTTGAGCCCGCCACTGCAATTGCTCGTTCTCTCTGTGCAAGAAGTTGTGACACTGATACACCCGAGTAGATATTTCCCACACTATTCAACTTTCTTTTCTTCTTCTTACTCAGGCCATCTGGAAAAATAAAAAAGTGAAATTAATGGCTTTCCTTCGATTAATCAAACGATGATTGACAATCCAAGAGATGGATTGTTCGCGCTGAGGGAGTCTCAAGGAACATAATGATCCGCTGGAAATAGCATTCTCATCAGTATTCATGAATGCCTGAGAATCCTTCAATGTAATTTAGTTTACACATAAACTCGAGAATAATCGAAATTCCAAGGCGAGTGAGGGAAGGAGGACTCGCAAGCGTAGTTCGTAGAACAGTTGTGGTAGTACAGAGGAAAATCACGTTTCGAATACCCTCTATTGGTAGGAGCAACCCTTTTGTCACCGGCGCTCAAACAATCCCTTGAGATTAATTAAACCTCCAATACACTGGAAATTTCGACAATACCGTAATTGGGTGACAAAACAATTAGGGAAATTATCAGGTGATATTCAGACATGATTTACAATACGATGTAGTGTTCAATCTTCAATTGATGACAAATGAAACGGACGAAAGAGTTAATTGTTTCAATATATTGAGAGAGTAATCAGCAATTATTGGCGAATAAAGTGGGTATCGTGCTCAATTAGAAAAGGGTAACACGAGTGAGTCTCTTATCCGCATGCCTACCACCAGCGATAATTATTCTTCCGTGAGAAGGGATGATAAGCCGTGAAGAGGGGCCTCGGTGAACGTAATGAATCTCGTTCCAACGGCGCACGTCCTCGCCTTTCTACTAACGCAATTCACCGCGATAACCCCCGAGGGTGGTAAAATGACTCTGCGGGGATGAAGATTTCCGGTTGAATATCGCGGTGTGGGGGGGAGGGGGTGGGTCAATTTGCAGCTGATGCACAGCGCGGTTTATCCGTCGGAAAAAAAATCCCAGTGACATTTCAAGTCCTGTTAATCCAAAAAGTAATGATGAAACTCCTCCGTTTAACCGTGTATGTACTCTGAAATGATGGATTCCTTATCCACAATATTTAAGGAACTGTATCACTGCATTATCCCCCACAATTTGAATTCACTCGTTGCTAAGAAAACAACAAATATTTAGACACAACTACAATGCTCAGATTATTCAGCAATAAATCGGTTAATTACGGATGATTGGTGTAATCGTTGATGAGATTAATCGCAATCCAACAGTGACAGATTGATATCAATATCAATAATCAGTATCATGAGTATGTTAGAGACAGGTGTTAACCTGATGATACAGTCGTTGAGACTGAACGAAGTCAAGTACAAGAGCGCAGGCGCTTGTAATATGGGTATCATGAAGGCGCGCGCACTTAGAAGTGGAATCAGAACAAAGTAGAGGTACACCGTGGTGGTGGTTTTACGTCCGAGTATCGTCCATCCCCTAGGAGTGAACGATCTTGCTATAACCCACCACCATCCCTCAAAAACCCCCTCCCCACCGCGTTAATCCCCACCGGTTGAAAACCCCTTCTACACTGTGTTATGCCGTTGTAGACTCCACTTAATATAAAGATTGAACGCCACTCTCGTTGCCCAACCAAATTAACCCTTATCATCGTGTTTCTGGTATACGACTAGTCAACCGTAACGCAATTATCCAGGTGTTGGTATTAATATTGATAATTTACTATTTAACTCTACTCTCTAACTCTGTCTAATCGATCGGATCAGTGGCATTAGACGAGGTGTTGAAGCATCATTAATCATCATAAATCTCCAGGAGAATTGATCACTCATGAATGATGCATGATAACCTAAATCAACAATCCTCCATTAACCAACGGTAATTCATTCCTCTCGAAAAACAACAGCTTTCACCCAACATTTCCCCTTCGCCGCCGGGCCAAAAAGCCCGGAAAATTGATGAACACCCGAGTGAATAAAAATTCCCGTTACATCCCGAACAAGTGGAGTTTCATGTCAATTGAAATCTCCAATTGCGCAGACGCACGTTGAAAAAAAAACGGGGAATTGGTAGGGGGAGAGAGGCGCAGGAAACCGCGGCGCAGGAATCAAAACCGGACAAAGAAAGGGCATTGGAATAACCCCACCCCCACCCCCGTTTCCTTCCGTCCCTCAATTTCATCCTCCTAAACCCAAACCACTTCATAAGCCTCAATAGTTCTCATATTCTCGTACAAAATTAACCTTTATCAGCGTTTGTTCGTTGCTGCGAAGAGCCGTTTTCCAACTGAGCTTTTCCATTAAACCCACCCAATCCTATTTTACCCCCCCCCTCCCCACCTCAATACTCATTGCCATCCCTCTCACCCGTTCCTACCACCACAAACTGAGAGTGACGCGCTGGCACTCACTAGTGTTTCAGTGGAATTCCTTCTCTACCTCCCGGGACTTATTGATCGCTTGGGTGCGATAAGAAGACACGAGCTGGCTGATTGGTCTCCTCTCTTCAAACTGGGAAGTCGTGCGCAGAGAAGCAGAATGGGACAGTGGGATTTTTTTGCGAAGGAGCACAGAGGGTGAGAGAGGGATGAAACGAGGAGAGGAAACGGGGAGAGAGATGGAAGAGTGAAGGGAGGGTAGGAAGGAAAAGTGCAACGGCTTTTCTGACTAGAAGTGCCCTCCCACCCCCGTAAAATCCCAAACCCCAGAGGCTATCCCAGCGTTGAAACTTGAGTATACTCCGGCGGCTTGAGCTTTTTTACTCTTTTTTACCTCCAGTTTGAAGGAGGATATAGAATAGAGCGAGCGAGAATAAACGGACAATCGACAAAGGAGATCCGATAACGAGGGCACCGAGCTTTCTTCATGGATTCATTCGCCCTCGAATGAGGATAAAAAGGAATGATAAGATGCTGACATTCTTTTATCCGGGGATAATATCAATTCTGATTGAAGCCGATGGTGAATTCAATAATGATTAATCTAGCATGAGGGGATTTTTTTTATTACGGTTTATTGAAAGAGTTCATCCCGAGTGATTGAATTTGAATTGGAAGGGGTTTCGGGGAAACTTAATTAAGGAAAATGTTTTGATGGGGAACATAAAAGAGATTTTTGTAGGATAACATAGGGGGGAGTTGTCGAAGTTTTTTTTTATGGAAAAAAAACCTTTGTTTCAAATCCTCAAATGCCAGAATTTGCTTCACCACAGCTTTCACAGCGGTTGGTGTGCCAACTGTAGCCATAAAAAGCACATAAACCGCTTTCCATAGCCGTATGCTTTTATTTTAGTCCGGTGGTACTCGTGGAGAGTTGAAGAGACCCATACACGAAGGGGTTAAAAGCACCGGAGTGGAGAATGGAGGGAAAAAAATACAAACCCATGCGCATTTCCCCGGTGTCACAATCCCCCTTTTTCCTTTTTTTTGTACTTGTTTTTTTTTCTTTTTCAAAATCCATATCGTTGTACGTGGTTGGACTGGTTTTTATATCGTTGGAAAATTGGAATCGAAGCGGTGGAGTAGAGAGTTCACTCCTCCAATCCCTCCAGTGACGGAAGAGTGGGGGGAGACATAGCGCAGTGGCAAAGTTGAAACGAGACCATAAAACACCATAAACACTGTCGCCCTGTCGAGCGTAACACGAAACAAAGCTGACGTTAAAAGTGAGAAGCGTGTGTGCGTATTTATGGTTTTTTTTAACAAACCCACCGACGATATTGTGAGGGATCGATAAACGTTGCACATGCGGGGATATGGGGAGAGAGTGTTTGAGAGGAGGAAGGGAGAAGGGTGGGTGTAATTAAAAAGTTGTAACGGCCCCTGATAAATCTCTCCGGAAAGTTTTTTTTTCTGTCGTTGTTTTAACGATCGGAATGATGAAAATACGAGGAAAGGATAAAAGAGGCGGAAAGTTGAAGCTTCTTGGGGTCTTGGGGTGCAGAGCTAATCGACTCAGTTCAATCGTCGGGGGGGCATTTGTTTGGACGGATAATCTCTGGTAATTTCTGATTCTTTTGGCTTCAGGAATAATTTGGCGGAGTGCTGGAACATGAGGGACGAGGCTTTTTTACGTCATCTTTAATCACTGTTCAACATTTTTCATGACATTTTTTATACAATTTCTGGATGTGTACATTAAGTGACCTTTCCACTAAAATTTAAAGAACATTCATCATTGGAAATTTATAGAAATCAGCAAAGTTCAAAATATATTGTATAGTATATTGTGCACCTAGAAAAATGATTTATTTGAATCAAATAAAGTTTATTTAAATAGGGCCAAATAATTTTTTTTTTTAATTAGATGAAAAGTTCTATTCGAAGTTTTGTTTATATTAAATAAATGTTTTTTTTATTATCAATGCATTCTTTGTTTATACCAAATAAACAATTTTCTCATATTAGGAAAATTTCTTTATTTGAATGGGAAATTTTGAAAGGTAATTTTTTCTTTAAACTCAATAAATATTTATTTGCTAGTAATAATTTATTATCCTTTGAGATGGTAATCAACTCGAAAAATATTGAGCGAAAAACATGCAACAATTATTAGGGGTTGTACATACATCACGTAAGACATTTACGGGGAGAGGGAGGGGGAGAAATTTCTGTTACATGGTTTCACTAGCAGGGAAATGATGATGAAAGAAAAAACCGGGTTAAGTCGGTTTTGACTATTGACCAATTTTTGACGAATATCTCGGAATCTAAAAGAGATAGAACAATTTTTGTCATGACCTTTTTTGTAGAGCCAATTGAGTGTTATAAAAAAGGTCATGAGGAAAACTTTGCTATCTCTCTTAGATTCCGAGATATTCACCAAAAATTGGCCAAAAGTCTAAATCGACTTAACCCAGTTTACCGTTTCCCTACTGAATTAGATCAGAACGATTCTAGAAAGCTCAAATCTTCCAGATTTCACGTTTCCTGAATTCGATTCATACAACCTTTTTCTACATAACCCACGAATATTGTTGAAACACACTTTCGAAATTCTTTCACAAAATAATGTGATTTTCTTAAAATAAAAAAATTATTTATTTGAAATAAATAAAATTATTTTTCAAATTTAATAAAAATTGTATTCAAAATAAATAAATTGTTCATTTAATATAATTAAATGCTTT